GGTGGTGTTGCCCAGGAATTTTCATCACAAAACATACACACACACAAGAAATGTAGGCGCATCCGTCTAACGAGTCTCATATTAATAGGAATTGTCCATCATAGATTCTACCACACTAGACAGAATCAATCAAAAATAATAATTCCACATATTACCTACATCGTGTATTGAACACTGTACATTCAGTTGAAATGACAGAAAAACATACACAGAGAGGGAGAGAGACGCAACTGATTTACAAACAAATCGCCTGTTTTTCTTAGACACACACACACGCACACACTCACACCTACAAAAACTCGAATGATCACAGTATATTCGCATTCAGATATTATCATCATCAGTAGTCCGATTGGGTTGCTTCTTTGAGGAAAATAAAATAAAGAAGTTAAGACGATTTAAGAAATTGATTTTCTTGTCAGCAATATATCATCTAGGGAGTTAGGTAATATATGTCTCTCTCGCTCTCTCTCTCTCAGTGTCTACTGATCTATCTATCCATGTAGAAATATGCAGGTTTATGTGTGTGTGTATGTGAGTGTTTCTGTGGGCCTGTGTGTCTGTGATGTTAAGTGGCATATTATGGATTGATGTTGATTGAATATGACGTACACATTTATGTAAATGTACAAACATTTATGCGTATATTTATATATATGGAAGCATTTTATTCACGTAATCATGTGAATAGTTGCCCACATTCCTATTACGAATATTTGAAACAATCCTTCTGTTTTTCCAGTGATGTTTTATCTGTGGCATAGAAAGACATTAAAATTATCCTGATACCCGAATCACACACTGGTACGAATGGTAAATTAGGTCTTGTTGCTTCAATAACATCTCTTTTATTTGTAGTGAATGGAGAGGTTTTCGCTTACTCACTCTTGGACCTTCCTTGAAAATTGGTTGCAATAGGACTTCGTCATGAGCTGAAATCAGTTAGAGAACCATTGGAAAACTAGCCAAGGAGTATGCAGACAGCTGTTTCGTCAGCCTAGTTTGGGACACTTCATCAGTACGCACCCACCTACCTTCAGGGTTCGAACCCAGGACCTTCTGATTACAAGGCTGGCTAGCGAGCTCGTAGACCATGAAGCCACTGGGACCCACCAATCCAATGGCCAGCGCTTGAATTCTATTTTCTGCCATATAATTCATGACACAGCGCGACCATTTCGCAGTGTCTTCATCGATGAGTTACTGCCTCGCCTTCAACATGCTGTATTACTGGTAACGGCTTCCCACTAGAACCCCAGGTCACTAACCGCCTGAATAGGGCCAGTCGCTAGTGAGCATCAGATTGAAAAGTTTTAATGTCTTTAAACAGTTTGAATGTAAGCAAGGCAGGAGTACTTTATGTGCTGATGTCTTCTTATCATAATATTATTTCCTACTGAAACAAAGGAGCCAAATGTGTTGGATGTAAACCTGCCTTGACTACACATCCGCTTTGGACTCTGTACTGAGATGTCTTTTTTGTCAAGTAAGCTTTTCCTGGTACAAACTGACTCCAGGGCGGTGGACTGGTTGCACGCTTATTTATCGAACAAAATGCAGTGTACTTTTGGCTTGTGTAACAAATGTCCAAGTCATCTCAATCGATGCAGCTTTATACCGTCATCAACTGACTTACCCGTGGATTCTTAGACACTAAGTGTTGAATCGAACTATCAGAGTATTCGAGTTACAGTGTCACAGCACACTAAATCGCTTCGATAGTATAAAATGTGCCTAAATTAAGGGAATAATACCGTTCGGTAACGTTTTCAACTGGATACTTAGATGTTCATTATAATAAAGGTTTTTGTATTTCCCAATGAATGTAAAAAGAAAATAACTACCCAAAGAACTTCATCAACAAAATCAACAATGACATTAAGTTTGGTCGAAAACATGGGCGTCAACAGTTGTCATTCTTTATCGAGCAGAGATGTCAGACGATATCAGAAGAGAATTCAATAAGCTCGACATCAGAGTTTTCTTCAAGACATCAGACACACGCACACACACTGAAAAGCAACCTTGTCCATATAAAAGACCAAATCCTTAAGGATTCTCTATCTAATTGTGTCTATAAAATAAAATGTTTGGAATACGATGCGATATACATCGGACAAACATCTTCAGAGAGAAATCAAAATCAGAAGAAATGAACACCGTAGAGTGAGTGTCTGTTCGACCACCGAGAAATCCAGTTAGTGAAATAGAAAAGCTTGAAAAATCATCAGCCATAGATCTACATGCTATAGAATCAGGTCACAAAATTGATTTTGGCAATATTGAAAATAATCCAGAGAAATTTCAGAAATCACAAAAAACGTCTCATTTCATCAAAAGCAGCAGGACGAGACAGAATCCCAGAAGAAGCATTGAAAATGGACCCAGAGACACCAAAGGATTTGATGACACCACTGCTGGAGAAGATGTGGAAAGAGGGAAAGTTACCGGCGGATTGGAAGAAAGGCTACTTGTTCAAACTGCCAAAGAAAGGAGACTTAAGTCAATGCAAGTACTGGCGTGGCATTATGCTCCTGTTCATCCCAAGCAAAATGCTAAGCCGCATCATCCTGGAGAGAATCAAACATGCCCTGGATGAAAAACTTCGACCGAAACAGGCTGGATTCAGGAGGAACAAGTCATGCATTGATCAGATTGCAACATTACGGATCATCATTGCACAGAGCTTGGAATGTCAGTCACCTCTCTACCTCATCGATTTCATCGACTTTGAAAAGGCCTTCGACAGCGTCGATCAAGAAATGATTTGGTAACTACTTCGCTATTACAAGGGGCCGCCAACAATTATACATCTCATCTAACAGATGTACGACAATGCTGCATGCCAAGTAATCCACAATGGGAAACTCACGGAATCCTTCTAAGTGAAAACGGGAATGAGACAAGGCTGCCTACTATCTCCAGTGATTATCCTGATTGCGGTAGACTGGATAATGAGACAGACAGCGAGCCAGGCGACGAGGAGATAGGCATGGTATGGACTTACAAAAAACTTGGAGGATCTGGACTTCACCGATGTTAAATGTCTGATTTTTCACAAAGTGGAAGATATGCAAGTGAAAAGAAACAAGTTGGCAAAAGAAGCATCAAAGATAGGAACGACTTCAGATGAACATAGAGAAAACAGAGTTGATGAAGATTCCTGGCCAACAGCAACTGCAACAACAACAACGGACAACAATCAGCATAAATGGGAGGAATCTGAGAGATGCAACCTCCTTTACCTACCCACCTACCTACCTGGTAAGCATGGTTTCAACTATAGGTGGACGGAACTGCTGAGGATATCAAACCGAAGATCGAGAAAGCAAAGCAAGCTTTCATTTCTCTCAAGTTTATGTGGAGATCAACAGCACTCAGCATGAGAAATAAGATCCGGATTTCCAAATCCAATGTGAAGTCAGTGCTACTATCCGGATCAGAGACTTGGCGTCCAGTCACGAAGGGCACTTCGAACTAACTACAGACTTTCATCAACAGATGTCTTTGCTCAGTATTACTCAAGATCAGATGTCCGGCCAGAAAATATCAGCAACAGGGATCTCTGGGAACGAACCAATCCAGCAGGAACCAATTGTGCAACAAATATGCATGAAGACATGGAGGTGAATTGGTCATAATCTGAGAAAACAACGCATCAAGTGAGTGACATCACACGCCAGGCCATCGCTTGAGTGGAACCCGACCGAATGGGAAGCGGCGAGTTGGTCGTCAGTGAAAGGGCGACATAGAGAAGGTGATGTGAAGAGGAGATGAAAGCATGTTGTCAGACGTGGATCCAGGTTAAAATGTTGGTGGAGAACCGAAGGCAATGTAGACATGGTGCTGAAGCCCTATGTTCCTCTAGGAACTAAAAGAAAACAATAATAATACTTCATATCAAATGGAATCCAAATTGTCTGAATAGGGATGATGGACTTAAACAGAATTTGACCTGGTTACAACACACAAAACCCGTCTCCCACGTGAAATGACAAAATCAACACGAATGTGATAAGCAATTACGTTATGTAAACACACACTGCTTTGTAACTCTACACACTTATCAAAACCAACAATCTACACTTGGTTTTGTTATCTTTACCAACTGGCTAACTTGACAAGGTAGAAAATTACTCCATAGTGATGAACGATGATTAAGTTGTTATATATAAGCTGAATGGATTTTGAAAATTCTGGTTTAATATTACTACTTTGATAAAGCTATTAGCAGCAGCACTGAATAGCGAAACGTCAGCAAAAACAACGAGAGTATCGTTTTGTTTTTCATTCATTCATTGGGAAATACAAATAAAACTGTACTATAATGAATATCATATACCCAATGCCGAAATCTTTTCAAACTGGATACCTAGATGACTCAGATTTGAACTTTTCGCTGGATTACTTTTTATTTATTTTTACAATCCTTTTATTGCTGAGTGTAACACAGAGTTTCAAGCTAGAAGGTTTGCATTTTTAATAGCAGCAGTTTCTATTTTTTAAAAAGTTGACATTGCTAACCTCACTGACGCACAACCTTCCCTCTTCACTCGGCTTTCTACCAGCTAAACGTGGTTTGGTGTGCGTATGTTGGGGATCGAACCGCAGACCACATGCATAGTTGGCTAACGTTCTACCGTTGGACCACCTACTCTTCTTAGAGAGCACAATCACAAAATTGTGCAGATCTCTGGTCTGTTGATTCTGTAGTTAACCAGGAGGACTATTCAAGTTGTAGTATAATCTGATATTAAGTTAAAGAAGCACCAGAAACCAAGATGTACTGGACACCTGCTTTCCTCTAGTGTAAGAATCTTCGGCAGCATGCATTCAAGACTCCACTGAAGACTGAAACCGGAACTTTCAGGTCATAAGACATAAGCCGCATAGCTGAAATCCATTTTTCAAATGAATTTTAAGGCCAATTTAATGTGAAAAACCTCAGACAAACACAAACACCCACTGTGACAGGAGAACAACTAAAAATGCGAACTTACTAAATATGTTAAATATGAAATTTTTGGAAGATTTTGCGAAGCGGCAAATTTGAATGTCACTGTTGTCAAAAGTAATAATAAAGATAATTGGAGTCGATTTTCGTTAGCTGGTACAGAGAATGCAGCAAAGGATAATAGGCAGAGGACACAACTAATCAGCACCATATTGACCATAAAATAACCAGAACGACGTGCTGATCGACTTGTAAACACTAGACCAGGATGTCGACGTTTACTTGTTCCAGGACTGTAACCTGTTTGAATTTCCATTGATTTTATCTGTGAAAACAAAAATAAACATTGAAGAGGTGTGTGTTATGGTGATTAAGGGAGGATGGATGACAAAGTTGAAATCTGATAAAGAAAACTCCTCCGTGGGCTGATAAATGAAGCATGAATACCGTTCAGATTTGAATGGCTTACTGTGGAATAACTCCATTATCGCTTAGATATTTTGATACAGTCTCACAGTGTTATACAGTAATATATACTGATGAACACGTTTCGAGCACAATTTATTGCTGCTTATAATCATATCAAGGCATTAACCACACATAACTTTCTAACTTCGTTTATATAATTCCTTCATTATTTTTTATCGCTTGACTTGATTGGTATGAGTAAGGAGTCATTCCTAATGCACCTGTTGGGTGTAGACTCAATGAACAAGGATTCTGTAGTCAACCCCTCTCTCCACTCACCTTTATTACTTCTGAGAATGTTAACCTTCTCCCATTTGATTATGTGATTGTGTGTTAATGCACGCAGTGAAATCGCTAAGTTATTTTCTTAATTACTCATCTGTTTTCGTCGGATCAGTCATTCTTACCTTAGCTGAATTCTTATGTTCTGACCATCTGACTACTCCCGATCTACTAGTTTGACCTATGTAGTTGACCTAACTCACAGACATTGCATGGTATTTTGTAAATTATTTTTTGTTTTGTCTAATTTGGTCAACTAGGTCCTCTAACTTACAAAGCTTGTCCTACCTGAGTGAGTTTGTAGGTTTGAATGCCCTACAAATTCCTACAAACTCACTCAGGGACAAGCGCTGTAGACTGAAGGACCCGGTGGACCCAATCAGACAAAATGATACAATTTAAAAAATACCTTGCAATGACTATGAGCTAAGTCAAATAAATAGGTCAAACTAGTAGATCGGAGGTAGTCAGATTGTCAGAACATAAGAATTTAGCTAAGGTAAGAATGGTTGACCCCGCGAAGATAAGTAATTTAGAAAAAAGCTCAGCAATTGCACTGCATGCATTAACACACAACCACACAATAGGTTGGTTGGGAGAGGGTTAAAATTCTAAGAAGTAATATAGGTAGGTGGAGAGAGAGAGGTTGATTACTGAATCCTTGTTCATCGACTCTACACCCAACACATGTGCAACAGAAGTGACTCAACGCAAATGCCAGAGATATGGAAGATATTACCACCGATCAAATCAGAGGATGATAAATAATGTTAAAGTGTATTCAGTTCACATTATGACATCCTGACAAGTTACTTATCTTTACTGTAAAAAGTGTCTTATTTCCCATCTGATTGTATTTTATTCATAACACTGATATTTTTTCTGAATGTTTTTTTCCTTCACGTTCCCCAGTGGAACATAGGGCTTCAAGCTAGTGACTTGAAGTTTCTGTAGCAGTGTTTATTTTACAGGATGGGGTTGCTAGCCTCATGCCCAACTTTTCCTCTTCACCAGCATTATTTCTGGCTTAGCGAGGTAAAGGAGTGCGTTGGCTGGGGATCGAACCCCGGACCATGTGCATGGTCGGCGAGCGTCCTAACCGCTATGCCACCGACGCATTTCTGAATGTACTTTATCTCATATTGATTTTATTCAAATGTCTAAGCAGTTTTACTCATGTATATAAATGAAGAAAAAAGTTGTGTGAGTGACTTGATATGACTGTGAGCAGCAATAATTTGTGCTCGTAGCGTGGTCATCAGTTAATATTAAAGTACAACACTGTGAGACTTTATCCAAATAAAATCTTATCCATAATGAAGTTATACTCTACCACAGTGCCCAAGTTCTAAACTTATATCAGTTACTTTGGAACACTCCTGTCGTTTAGTTTGACAATAGTCAGCCATATATTTTTGTGTTAAAAGTAGGTCTGAATGACGCATACTGGTTTGATAAAATTCCCTTAAGGTTCTTACAGTTATAGGATACAATATTTCTTTGAATTTTGAACATATATTGATATCAGTTCGGGGAACATTGAAAACCAGGGAGTACTGGAGAAGTGATTCGTCCTGTTTTGACGCTCATCAACAGTATGCACCCATAGGGGTTCGCATCTAGGGCTTTCCGGTTACAAGGCAGATTATTAGACCATTCAGCCACTGAAACCCGACTCAGTGACCATCCCATGAATTTTACCTTCGACCAGCCACTGCCATCCATGGAGAGTATTTGACTTCATTCCTGATTTGCTGGTGGACTACACTGGTAACGAATTCTCACTGAACCTCACTCCAGTCAACTTTATGCTGTAACCAGTCACTAACTAGAGTTCATTAGATTCACTTTCAAAAGTTAATTTTCTGGGATTTGATTTGTCTCAGGTAATAATATCTCGGATAGAGAACCATTGAAAATAGGCAGTAAGCACTGAACAGCAGTCCATTCATGTGTCTTATGAGTTTGGTGCCAATAGCCAAATGGTCTACGAGTCTGCCTTGTAATCGGAAGACCCTAGACGCGTACCCTGGTGGGTGCATACTGTCAATGAGTCCACAGGCGAGGACGAATCAGTTTTTCAGTACTCCAAACTGGTTTTCAATATTTCTCTAACTAATATCGATCCATGGGCAAACTTGAAGGAACTCAAAAACGAAATCGCGAAATGCGAGACAATGACGGTGATTAGTCATAATATATTTACATAATGTAGGGAAGGGAAGTTGACAAGTTAGTTCAAGGTTATACATGTGTTAGGTGAGTGGTTAGCATAAAACTATTATGTACTAAAGAGGAGATAGCAAAACTGCACTGAGAAGCGAATCATGAAATAACGAATATGTGAAATTAAACAGGTGGAGGTAAAGTTTTTGAGAGAAGAGATAATATCACTAACAGTAAGTCCAGATAGTATAAACGTAGATGTGAAACAATGCTAGAATGTAGGGAGGGCATCAACAAAACAAAATAAAACGGGGCAAAATGAATAAGGACTCTTGAAAGGGAGGCAGGAAGAAGAAATTTTTAATTGTAAGTTTAGCCACAGTAGGAACAGCATCTGAACGCGTTCATTTTGAATATAAAGTTCCAGTTTAGTTAGTCTTGTTGCAACAGCCTTAGCTATATGATAGAAGGCGTAGGTGAACTGTGAGCAATGGGATCCTTAAGCTGATAAACTTCATTCCTGAGTGTGTTGGTTGGTTTAAATCCTGTCCTTATTTTAGCCTTAGTTAGATTTAGCGTAGGACCTCTGATGTTCCTCTCTAATATGGTAGTAATATTAATGCTTAAGGGTGGTGTTTGAGCCATTTGTCGAATTAAGAATACGACAGTAAGCCCATTTAAGAAAAATAGTATAATTTGTCAAATACCATGTAATTATTTTAAAGTCAGTTGCATAGCTCACACTTCTAGGTCGGAGGACCAAGGTTTCCTGCTAGTTGGCACTCGTCAGCAAGGCGTATCTGCAACCTTGAAGGAATTCATCTCCAATTTGAGATTCGAACCTGGGTCACTCAGTGAGTGCTTGTTATGAACTCGTCGCCAATATGTTATGGTGTCGTTGCCAATAGGTTATGGTGTGACCAAGCAGTGTAAATATGCGCTAATGAGATATAACGGACGATAACGTACAGACTGGTATTGCTGAGCAGTAGTTAATTTGTCCTGAAGCGAAGAGGCAAATCAGAAGACCACCACGTTCACGAAGATACGTGTAGTTTCCAACAGGGAAAATTAACTATCCAATACAAGAGTATACATGAAAATAACTAACACACATGAACCAATAAGACAGATGGTAGTTTTTTATACCACCATTGGATTCTGATTGGTTGCATTGTCATGTGACAAAGGTCATACATTGTTTATTTAGTTCATGGACAGACAAGATATATTGTGAGTTATAATGGAATAAACGATCAATATACATATAGGCCAAATATATTAGACTGGCACAAACAAAGCAGACGTCATGTGACTACATATCACTGCTGCAGTCAGAGACCTCACCAACCACTGAGCTATTGAGGCTGTCAGTTGACTTCCTGTAGGATTGTAATGGATACTACTTTCATTGAACACACTAGGTAGTGAATATCCATTACAGTCCTACATAAGATCAGTTACGAACTCAAATAGCTCAGTGGTAGAGTCACATGACTTCAGCAATCACTGAGTGACACGGGTTTCAATCTCACAATGAACGTGAATTCCTTCAAGATTGTAGATATACCTTGCTGACTTGGGAGTGCTAACAAATACGCAACCTAAGTCCAGTCAGGGCTTCCTACCCCCAATTGCTTCCAACCGTCTAATAACAACAATTCTTCGAAAAATGAAACCGGCGCTTCAAATCTATACAAGCAGACAGCAGCTGGAAGCATCAAAATTTGAAGTCAACGTAGATTAATTAGTATTGGTCTGGTACCAAGTCACACAGAGCAAGTGTTTTTAATAGTTCAGGCAATTGGCCTCACTAGCACATTCTCACTGCATTCAGTTTTCTGAGATCACTTTCAGATGACACAACAAATGTGCACAAACTATTATTTCTTGTTCATATTACCTGCCTCATATATGGGTGTGGCATTTAAACCTCCACAGCATATTCCTACAGAAACATTTTCACTTCTTTTCATTCCGCGCGGAACATACGGCTCCAACAACACATCTACACTTTATTCTATTTTCTGCTGTCCTCTTCATCTGCATCCATGGTCGTCAATTACCGCTCATCTTATTCTCGCCATGTCACCCTCGCACCGACCACACACTCGTCGCTTCTAATCGGCATTCCACTCAACCCATGGCCTGCATTGCGCGCGCGATGTCATTCGGCAGTCTCTTCAACATATGCCCGACCGATCCATCTTCATTTATTCCTACATATTTGCTGAGCAGTCGACGCTCGCCACTTGGTTTATTCCACTGCAGAGTTTCTTGTTGCTAATTCTTTCTAGGTAGCCTGCCAGCCGAGTATTTGATCTTCATTATGCAGTCGGCCAGAAAAGGCGGCAGCTGTTGATAAAAGTTTGTAACTTGTTGGAAATCCTTTTTCTCGACACGCTGGCCAAGCTTCTGACCGATATAAAAGGACCGAGTTCACAATGGTTTTGAATATCGATTCTCGTTTTTCATGTTATGGAGTGCAAAATATTTCAGATTGACAAAGACGTATCTTGCCCTCCAGGTTCTGGTTGGTGTTGACAACTTCATTCATGCTGTGTGACTGTGGTTGAAATGGTGCTTCGTAGATAAGTGAAGAAAGGAAACAATCTCTGTTAAATCTCTCTCTTTGATGGTGATCAGTGCTGGTTGTTGTTGTTACTGTTGTTTGGTTATCTTCATCACTGCTATCGTCTCTATGTTCACCTGAAATCCTGTCTTCGCTAGCAGCCAGCCTCTTCAACCGGTTTGTTGGTTTTTGCCTACCTGTGACATTGGACATTATTCATCCATACACGAATTCCGCATCTTCTAGATGGAGTCTTCTTATCTGCCAGTACAGAGTATTCCTTTCTTTTTCACTTTCCATGCACAGTTTGACGTATAATTCGGTCCACCACAATCAGGAATATCATCGTGCGTGATAATTGGCAGCCAGACCTGTCCTACTCTTGTTTTCACTCCGAACGCCTCCCTGAGTTTTCTGACAAGGGGCACTTGACTCGTGGTATTGTGACAAAGCTATTGAATGAGGTTGATAATGACTTGGGCATTGCACTTCGCAGTACGGAAGCAGTTTCGAAATTACTTGTCGGTCAACGCTGTCGAGCAAGTTAAGGTAGAGGTTTGACCGCCATGCTCTGCTTTGTTTGATGATGATGATGCGTAGGGTTGCAGTTTGACCAGCACAAGTTTCAACAGTAGTGGTGATTTTTGTCTAGGTGGGGTTTCTAGCCTCATATCCAATCCTCTTCAACCGGCTAGACAGAGAGGTTTAGGAGTGCGTCGGTTTGGACGCGAACCGTATGCGTGGTTGCTGAGCTTTCTACGCCTGAATCACCTACCAATTAAGAAATCTGTTTAATATGTAGTAAAGCTAAAAAGGTATAGTTAGGAAAACACTTGATTTTATCAACTTACATCAACATGATGAAAAATTTTCCACTCTTGACTATCCTCCGCACATCTGACGTCGACTTGGCTAACTTCAGTTGGTGAAGCGACTAATTCAACTTCATCAATGGTCCGATCACATGTAATTGTTACTGATAAATCCTGTGTCAGAGAAATATAAACAAAAGGCAGAAAAAACTGATGAAAAGTTTGTAAATACTTTTACAAACTACTTGTGAAATTTTAGTGAAGATCCCTGTTTAAACAGTCAAGACACGATAAACATAAGTCTGGTCACGAGATGACACCAGCTGGAGAGTCAATGGAAAGCCAGCTGGGAGTAGTGGACAGCTGTTCCCTCCTAGTCTTGGAGTTTTCAACAGTGCTTACCTGCCGGCGCTAGAACCAAAGACTTTCCAATTACAAGGTTAGCTCGCATACAATTCAGTTAATAGGTTTGAACCTTGGTGAGTGCGCATTGTTCAGGAGTACTAAAATAGAGTGTAGCTGCTGTCCAGTACCCCGTGGTTTTCTAATGGTTATTTAACTGATGTCACCTACTGATAAAACCTGCAACCAATAAAACTCTTGCCAACTGACGCTTAACAGCAAGTATAGTGGGCAAATGTGGACTTTCCAGTTTGATCCTCATGCGTCTGCCCCCTCTGTCCCTCTCTCGTTCTCTTTCTCTCTCCATAAACAACTATTTCAATTGATTTTTCAGTGTTGAGGATGAAATATACGGCATCAAGATTTTGGGAGTTTAAGTGGAGGGAGTGTTTTTTCAAAGGTGGGGCCGCCAGCTTTGTGCCCAACATTTCCTCTATCTCAGGCCTTACTGCAGGCTGGTAAACTAGCGGAATTTCAGATGTGTGTTGACCGGGAAACGACTAGGGAGCCTACAGGTGACTGGTGGGACAACTAACGCACAGTAGTTTTTAATACAATACGTGTTTTATCAATATTATGGGGATGATATGATAAAACGAACCATTGAAGTTAGAATTTCCGTAACCTTCTTCTGTGGGAAGACATCTCTCAATGATGAGCTGTGAATATTCATTGTCTTCAGGACAGATAAAGTATACAGGCGAACTAGTGGTCCAACTATGGGGTCATCATTCTGACCAGATATATTTGCACCCTGTAATGTTTGCATTAAATCTGTTTGTCTAATTATCACCTCCTTTGACACACCAATGTTCTTTATTGACTGACAACAAACATGCGGACATATCTCAACCCCAGTGGCTGCAACGTTCATGGGCCGTCCTCGCAACTGTAAAGACTTGAGTCCAATCACTAAAGTGGTTTGTAAGTGAGTACTGTAGAATAACCTAAAACAAGACGAAAGCGTCGGTGACACAGCGGTAGAGTGCTCGCCGACTACACTGGCGGTCCGGAGTTCGATCTCCCACCGACGCATTCCTTTACCTTGGTAAGCCAGTAATAAGACTGGGAAGAAGAGGGAAGGTTGGCATGAGGCTAGCAACCCCATCCTGTAAAAGCAATCACCACTGCTACAGAAACTTCAAGCCTCTAGCTTGAAGCAGCCCTATGTTCCACTGGGAATGTAAAAGAATAAAAAAGACGAAAGCGATGTCAGTTTATAATGAAGTCTACATTGTAACCACCTGAACACACCTACACTCTGAATAGATTGTTTGTTTACATGAAACCTTTATTATATTCTTGTGAAATAATGAATGTCTTGAGTACTTAGTGGCTGCATGTGTTTAAAATTAATACTATGAACGGATGCCCCAATAATACCACGACTAATTACTCAAAATGATGTAAACCTGGCTAGAGTCTCAGTAGAAATACAACATCCCTTAGCTGAAGAGTTCCAAATAGGATGAAATGTGCCCTAAAGATTCTATCACCTATCACAAAACAAACTACAATACAAGTTACAAGTATCATATTTGTTGAATACAGAAAACATTTGTAGCTTACATTGGGTCGTTCAAATGTGTCTGGATCAATTATTGTGCTTTCACGCACCCACACAGTGGGGTTCGAACTCAGGATCATCTAGTTACAAGGCAAAGTATTACGTACTCTGACACTTAGACTCTGTTTATCTTATTTATGCGAACAGCTTTTGACACTAACATCGGATATACAAACAAGTACTACACTTGCTTATGTAGACGTTTAAAAACATCAGAATATTCCCTTTAATACTGAGAGATTAGATCTGCGTCAAAGCTTCTTTAGCTACACTATGCATAGTCGATATACTCCGTTGTTTCTGTCTTGTCAGTTAAAAGATTTAATTCTTCTTTGGCAAACATGAAGAATTTGAGATTCATTTGACTTTACCGCCAACTCAGTCAAAAACGTCAACGTATCCAACAAGACCATGATTTCATTAGATGTCACGTCATTGTTCACAAACATCCCACTGACTGAAACAATATGCTACATATGCGAACTTATTCACTCAAAGGGAATAAACATCCGTATATACACTGAGCGTCTTAAAAAACTCCTACTGAGATGTACCCTGAATGTTCAATTCTCTTTTAACAACGAAATATATCGTCGAAAGGATGGTATAGCTATGGTCTCACCACTAGGCCCATTGCTTGTAGATTTCTTCATGGCAAGACTCGAAAACACATGCCTAAAGAAAATGATCGATAGCTTCGAATTCTACAAGAGATACGTCGACGACACTTTTATTATCGTCAACAATGAAGAAAATCTAGACGACATCTTGAATTCCTTTAACAACTGCCACCTCGCGATTCAGTTTAACTCGAAAATATCCTTTCTTGACGTTCAACTAACAAGATGAGAACAAGACGGAACACTGAAAAGATCTATCTACAGAAAGTCGACGCGGAATGGAAAGCTTACTAACTTTCACGGTTGGGTACCTCTATGCACCAAACGAAACCTGATCCATTCACTCGGCTACAAAGTTCGCAGAATCTGCACCCCAGATACCATATAAGACAAATTGGACAATCTCAAGAGAATCCTCGTTGAGAATTGTTACTCAGAACGATTTGTTGCAACAGTCCTCCACGCTTAGTGCCTCAAAAAACTCCATTTACATGAACCTTCAATTTAATGAAGATTCATCTGCGGAAACATTGGAAAATCGACTGTCTCGTTCACTTAAGTGAATCTTCTTTGCATCTGAACTACGATTAACCTTCTCCACGAAACTTATGATTCGTATGAATGTGAAGGATAAGCTACCACTGCTGGCGTCATCAGTGTGTATCTACCAATTCACCTGCTCGTGTGGAGCCAGGTATGTAGGCCGTACCCAGCCTTCGCTTTCCAAACGTATAACCGAACACTTACCAGCATGGTTCTACAAAAGAGAAAAACGATGCCCCCGCAGCTCTATCTTAGAACATCTGATAGATTCCGGACACCAAGCTACACCGCAAACAAACTTCACAGTCGTCTACAGAATACGAAGCAGTCTTCTTAAAAGTGTACGAATCAAACTTCTTCAACCTGCAGAAGCAATGGCAATTCACTTGCTAAGTCCTGAACTCTGCATACAGAAGAAACTGGTTCAATTACTAAACTTGCAATGGACGTAATCTATCTTAATACCCAATGGGTAAATTTTATTTCTTTCTGTCTCTTAATTAATATTAATTTGTCTTTTTAATTGTAATATTTTACATTTTCAACTTTCCTATTCTGTACCCTCACCTGATTTAATTTCTACAACTCATTACCACTGTCACTGACTTGACCAACGCTCAATTTCTAGTCATTTATGTTACGTCATCCAATTTATTTGCTCAATTTTAGTTTTAATTTAAATGGCATTATTCTCTACTCCACCTCTACTTAGTCTCTACCTGGAATTACCTCTGTTGCTATCCTGACCTAAGTTGAAACATTTTAGTCAATTATATTACGTCATCTAACTAATTAACTCAATCTTACTTTAATTGCTATCTAATTAACCTATATTTTTATATTAGATCATTCTTATATTGTCTAATTAATTATCCAAACTTGACAAACGTCATGTGCACAGACACAAATAATTGTATATAAATGCGATTGTATAGCTATGTGAATGAATTCACCGTCGAAAAGAGTCTCTTTGCTGAACGTTTTCTCTTTTTCATATGATTTGAAATTTGATCGAGAAGTGACTTCAGTTAGAGAACAATTGAAAACCACAGAGTACTGGGTGACCGTTCTGTCATACTTTCGAGCTCACCTAGAGGACGTCACTATGACAACAGTCTCTATACTTTACGAGGCGACCTTGCTAACCATTTAGCCGATGGCTTTTCCTCTATATATTGCAAATAGTCAGAGGTCAGAGTTCATGACTCGTTAAAGTTAACTCCAGTAGCTGAACCGCTGACGAATGCATCTTATAACTCCAAAGGTCGTTGGTTCTGATTTCGGTGGGATCATGAGTGTATACGGCTGAAAAGCTCGTGGAGCAAGACGAACAGTTGCCCTTTACTTTCTGGTGGTTTTCGCTTGTTCATCGAATGAAGTCAGCTCATGATAAAACTTGAAATCAGTTGGATCCCTGCAATGCAACACTAGAAAATACAGGATTTCATCATGAGCTGAAATCGGTTAGAGAACCACTGGAAAGCCTGAGAGTACTGGACAACTGTTTCGTTCTAGTTTTGAGGATCTTCAGCAGAAAATACATGCTAAATTCACTTACCTGACAATCGAATGGAAAATGACGTAGTTCTAAAGTTTCATGAAAGACTCCTTTAATTCGACGTTTTTCAACAAGATATGCTTCAAAATCTGGTTCAACAAATTCCACTTCATGACTGACTATTTCAATTGGTTCACCCTGAGCATTATCGATCAACAGGCGAGGATTCCAGAATTCATCATCTTGTAATTTAAGCTAACGAAAAAAGGTAAGGAAAAAGTTAAGATTAAAAAAGAAACAACTATTTCAGTGTATAACATTAGCGAATTTAATAATAATAGTGGTAATAACTCTTCGTTTAATTTCAGGGTTCGTCACAAACAGATATTAGCTGGGGAAATCATTGAAATGTGATGAAAATAGTGTCAGAAATGAACTAACCAACCTTCTTAGCACCACCAAATAGACCATTTCCCTCAACCTTACAGCATCATACTTTATTGTTATTGTATTTCTTATATTTATAATCCTCTCAATATTTTCGTTTTGTTTGTATTCTTTTTCATAAGTGTGGACATAATTTTAAGCTGTATTATGACTGCTAACTTTGTATTTCACCTCACTATACCATATCAACAGAACATTACACTCAATTATCCATAACATGCTAAAGTTTCCAAACTGAATCGACAATACCGTTTGAAACAAACTCACTGTTATTAGTATTTATTATTATTATTATATCTAATAATTATGTCGTTAATGTGGACAAATTCCTCCGATTAATTTTTGTTTTAATTTTTAATTTTATATACACTTTGAGTAAATCAGATGCAATATTGTGACAAATGCTGAGAATTCCATTCTGTATTATAAGTACTGTTTTTGGAATAAAGTAAATTATTATTAAAAAAAATATAAACTGGACAGCCATTTCTCGCCAGTTTGGGACTGTTCATCCGTGTGTGTACCCAGGAGCCCACCAGGAAATGAAATCAGGACTTCCAGGATCACGATTAGATCTTCATTGGAATCAATACGAATTCCTACAAAACCCGTAATCTAGATGCAAATCTTCAGCTTATCGGTGGCTGCTGTATCGATATTCTGAAGATGTGGTTAGAAGTTATGGCCGGTGGAGACTATCACGTCAGCCTAAATTTGACGCTTATCATTGTCAATGGTTAGAATAATAATGCTACATCACAAGTTGTAAGAAGAGTGAATTCCAGGGTCAGTAAATTTCTCATTCAGGTGGCCTTAAGGTCCCGAGTTCGAACCTTTTTGGGGTTGTAGCGGCGTAACTCTGCTAAAGACTCTTAAGCAAGGACTAGAGTCTGTCTAGTGCTTCATAGCTCTCACTAATCCCATAATTAACATTGATTCGTGACGTAATCTGTAATGAAGTTGATCCAAGTACCTTACCGAACCTAAAATTTATGTAGTTTTCATCTTGCAAAGGCATTTGGGAACAAGTACTAGTTTTGCTTGGATAAGAAGTAACCAAAGCAATATATTGTGCCAACTTATCCAGTGGAAGATGGGTTATTTATGATTGTATATCGTGCGGTGCAAAACAATCTGTCTAAAGGTTAAAGATTATTGTCTCCTAGCCATAGCTGAAGCTCTAGTTATGAGCTAGAATAAACTTAAGCTATGTGTTTAGAAAATGCACGTTTATCCTCCATGTTTACCTTGGTATATCATAGTGTACTCATAGAGATCTTTCTGAGTACGACCACGGATTGATATCAGTTAGAGAACCATTGCAAAACCAGCACTGGATTACTGGACAGCTGTTTCGTCAGCACAGTGCTGGAGTTATCGTCAAAACGCATCCACTGGGTCTCAAACCCAGGACCATCCAGTTACAAGGAAAGTTCGTAGACCATTCAGTCACTGCGACCCACCCGATTCAACGACCAGTCCATGAATTCTAGCTTACACCATTTCGTGATTTTTAGCGCGACCACCAACCAGTATCATTTGTGGGAACTCTATCTATCCTCACTCCCGACTAGATGCCAATGAGTCCCAAACTATGCTGACTAAAAACAGTTGTCTAGTACTCTCTGGTTTTTGATCGTTCTCTAACTGAAATCAATCCGTGGTGAAACTCAAAAAACAAAAAATAAATTTTTTACATATCAACTCTTGAAAACTTATAGAAGTGATTATCTCATATTTTCATGTCTTATTATTTCGGAACAAAAAATAGTCATGGCGAACAGTTGCCACTTTCAATAAATTCTTCTTCTTCTCCAGGTTTTACATTTATAAATCCTCCAATTTTAGCATAGGTTACCCAGATAGTAAAAGCAAGTTAGAATTACATCACAATGTGTGTGTTGTGGAACAAGTATAAGTAAGATGGTATGGAATAACAGGTCAGTTAGAAATAGATAATCGGAAGATTAAGCACATTTGGGAGCGTGAATACGTGATTATAAAATATGATGGAGACGACACAGGATGAGTGAAATGTTGTCAAAGTTGTAGACTAGATAAAATGTTCGAATACGATTACATAAAGTGAAATGAAAGATGGAATAAAGAAGGATAACAAAGTTTTTATGTGAATTGCATAATAAAATCAAAACCATGGTAATCAAGGAGATTGTACAAATTGTTTTGTACGCAAAGTTCTGGCTTTATGTGCTATGTATTGTTGAAAGGCCTCTGCTATACAAAGCAAATGCACTCGTGTCCCTTTCAGCAAGCTTTATCGAGATTTGTAGACTATAATAAACGATGTGTCAGATACTGCATAGTGATCAGTATCTACAATATGTTGCCGAATAGATGAACCAATACCTCTACGTTGTCCCTTGCTCAGCTAAAATGGGAGGTGCTCTTGAACGCGGTGGAATATTTTTGTTGACGAATATCCTATGTACCTAACTCCGCAAGATCAGGTGAACATATAAACATATATACACATGGAATTAGACAATAGAGGTAGCATTTCTTTGACATTAAGGTGCAACAATGGACGACTGGAGTAGGTTATTCATAAAGTGGCAGCAAAGGAAGTTTTCTCAGTGATCTCGTCAAACGATAAAAGGTGTCAGGTGAGTGGCTAGTACAAAGTGGTCTGTGTTAAACAAGAGATAGTAAGACTGCAATGAGAGGTTCATAATGAGATAACGAATATGTGAAATGAAACAGGTGGAGGCATATATTGAGAAAAGAGATAATATCACTAATAATAAGTCCGGATAGTATAAACGAAATATTAGACAGTATTGAGAGAATGTTTGCATGAAGGGTATAAATTATGACAAATAATAATTATATTAATAATAATAATTGTAATAATAATATTTGTAATAATAAGCAAAGGAAAAAATGCCAAGAGGGTTAAGGGGAAGGAGCACTCTTGGTGAGAAGAAGAATCATCAATCCAAGTTTGGCTACGGTAGGGAACAGCGTCTGGACGTGTTCTTTTTAGATACAAAGTTCCGGTTTAGTCGATCTTATTGCAACAGCTTCAGCTATGTGTAGAAGACGTAAGAGAACTGTACGTGATAACGACTTCGGAATTCGGTATATAACCCTGAAAGCTGTGTTGACATCGATATGATGTCCAGTATCGACCAAGTGTGACAGGATCGAGCTTTTTATGCACTTGATTTCCCCCCTGCTGAACCAAGCTGGTAAATGTTCTCGAACCCGTAGACGAACCTGCCTAATCGTGCGCCCTGTATAACTTGAACCACAGGAACAGTTGAAATGGTATATGCATGAAGAAGAGCTTAGCTTAGGTAAGACATCTTTCAGTTGTTGGGTGAACATTGGACGGCTACTGAAGGATAGACACAGACGTGGAGAGTAGAAAGTTTTCTTGATCGCCCTGGTTGAACGTTGCGATAGAATCTCCACAGGAGTATCTCCCTTGAATTAGAGACGTAAAAACAGAGGCTTCTTCTCCACCTTTGCCAGTTCATGTTTACGACTATTGTAACCTATATTGGCTTTAATGAACTTCTCTGGATATCCGTTCTCGCTTAGAATGTCTTGGATGACCTGGAGTTCTTTCTCTACACAGTCTTCGGAACAAATAGACCTTGCTCTAAATGCTAATTTATGCCCTTCATGCAAACATTCTCTCAATACTGTCTAATATTTCGTTTATACTATCCGGACTTATTATTAGTGATATTATCTCTTTTCTCAATATATGCCTCCACCTGTTTCATTTCACATATTCGTTATCTCATTATGAACCTCTCATTGCAGTCTTACTATCTCTTGTTTAACACAGACCACTTTGTACTAGCCACTCACCTGACATCTTTTATAACCTTGAACTGACTTGTCAATTTTCCTACCCCACACTCTACAAATCTATTATGATTAATCACCATTGTCTCCCGTTTTACAATATTCTGTAATCGAACTCAGCCTGGCACGTTTGTCACACAAATACGACTATATATTTTGACACCCCATAACTAATCCGTTATTATACATTTAAAAAATGTATCTGCCGCATAACTGGCCTTTATTGTAACGACAGCAAATATTATATTTTATAATTGTAAGAACCTGAAGAGGAGAAATTATTGAAAAGAATATTCTTCGTTCAGATTGACTTTTAATTATTTATTTGTTTATTAATAGTACCGTATAAACAGTAACCGGCTTCTTGTTTGTTCTGGACCGGGATAGCCTTTATCTACGCGTGACTTAATTTCAAGCGATATTGCGCTTACAAATGGGATAGGCTAGACATAAGTTCAAGTGTGAAAATAACGACAATATTAACGATCATGTGGTTTAAACTTAGAAACACTCTTGTTCAGCGATTATCAAACAATAATAATAATGAATTTAGTGAAGTGAAATGCTAAACAGGATTTTGTAAATACGATAACAAGTTAGAAAAGCACTACTTAAACCTCAGGTAATAGAAGGCATAAGAAAGGTCATGAATTCGTCAAAGCTCAGAAATTAAACGTTGGTCAATGAAACAAACAAAAATAAGCAAAAATAATTGAGATAGGAATTTAAAGTGTCAAAGTTTTGCAGCAATCTGGTTAAGTATTGGGGGATGGAGTTGCTAGCACCACGCTTCAACCCTCCCTCTTTATCCGGGCTAAGGACCGGCTAGAAAACTAGTGACCTAGTAATCTAGGCGAGGAAAGGAGAGAAACACATTCATCAACCTGAAACCAATCTGGAAATCTTCGTCACTCAGCATCAACAACAAGATTCGGATCTTCAATACAAACGTCAAGTCAGTCAGTGCTTCC